AAAATGTCAAGCAATATCAGGCTATGCTAATGTATTTTCTTATCATTTTTTGGAAGATGAGATGACACACTGATCATTAGAAATCCCCCCATTAGTACCTCAGTTTGAATGACGTGATGTGGAGGCAGGGCGGAGTGCGCACAGGCCAGCCCCTGGAAACATAACCTGACCCCTTTGGAAGTTGTGTCATCTGATAAGAGCCAATGTTTGATAGTTTTGTCCTCTTCATTGTGATCCATGGCTCTCCTTTTACGCCCTATAACAAATAGAGCTGCTGAAGCAACTATTTATGGCCAGGACAAGGCCTGGTCAACCATCATCAAAGAACTACTTTAGGATGAGCCGCTAGGTGCGGACCAGATGTTAGACAACGCTGTGGCGATAGTAGGCTAACGACTGTTAGACTAGTGGATTCATTCACATATAAGAAGAGTCATTTTTGATCCTAAATGGCCTTTAATTGTTTATTTTCATATAAGGTCGGGGATACAGTTGCAGAGTAAGAACATACATTTTTAGAGAACTGTTCATGTTTTTACATTTTTTTCTCTTTCCGTCCTCCTGCCCTTTACCATTGACCTGTGTTTGACCACTGCCAGTGACAGTTTTACAGTATAAAATAGAACTCATTGTTGTCTTATTCAATATGTCTTCCCTGAATAAGTCCATAAATGCATTAGGGTCCTGTGTCTCTTGCTGTTGTTCCGACTTAGGTGAACTGGCGTTGAACCCCAGAGCGCTGTAAAATGCAGATTGGGTTCACTGACAGGCCTGCCATTTTATTACACAGTCATGAACCGCATTATAAACTGTCACTCATCCTTCGCTTTGATTCACTTATTCTGTGAGACATGGGAGTAGATCTCTCTGCTTGCTTATCACATCATTAAGTACTTGGCATTTTTGGAAAGAGATGATGCTGTTTGAACGTTTCATTTTGTACACCGAAAAAATGGGCGTTGCGATGCCCAAAAATATGTGTTCCATTTCTTGAGTAATAGCTGAGGAAAACTTGCAATAACTTCTTGATTAGTATAACATTCATTAACAGTACCATAATGACAGTGCTCTTTCTGAGTAGCCATTGTCCAAATGCATTATTATGAAACTGTTATGATGTTATTGTCATCCATAAAGTTTAGGCTGATGAAACTCTTGGGGCGGCTATGGCTCAGGAGGCAGAGTCGGAAGGTTGGCACTTTGACTCCTGTTCTCTCCAGTCCACATGCCAAAGTGTCTTTGAGCAAGACACTGAACCCCAAGTCGTTCCCGAGCAGCACTTTGCAGTGACAACGCTGCCATCAGTGTGTGTGTGAGTTGGCGCCGCAGATGGCTGCCTCAGTTCTGTACTGGAGACAAATTGCTTGTGTGTGTAATGTACTTGGCCAGTAAAAGTGACTAAATGTAAAATTGATGGATAATCATATTTAACCATGCTAAAACCTCCATATCACAATTATCCACTGTCTAGAATTAATTATTTTTTGCAGTCTGCGCTGTCATTCAGGACTTGGCTGCTTCTAACCAGGCTTGCTTTTTATTTGTGCTGCAACAGTTAACTGTTTGGGATGTCTTTGCCGTTAAATGATGCTGGCCTTTGTCCGTGGCTGAGATTTAGTTTAAGGTTAAATGCCTTGCCCTTAAACTCATCCGTTGGGCCAGAGTGTGTTGCAAGGTCACCGCTCCAATCAACCTAGTGTTAACACAAAGGCCGCTTGTTCCCTAATGAATTATCTGTACAGTTCCTCAGCGAGTCACTACACTGCCCTCCAGCTCTTCTTAGGCCTTCCCAGCTCTTCTGTCCTGTCACACACACCCCCAGCCCCCAATTTTGAAATGAGTTTTATAACTGCACAGTAAACTTCCAGGGGCTTAATGATGATGACTTCTTCATCTGCCCAAATGCTCCTTTTGTCCGCCCCTCCTCCGTCCCTGGACCCTGCCCCCCGTTCCCTCTGGTCACACCAGGCCTTAGACCCTGGTTCACCTCACTTTATAGTTCCACAGATAATCCCTTAGAGCACACAAACACATGCACGTGCACGCTCACACATACACCCTCAGGCTATTGATGGTGTATGTGAGCCCCTCAATAGCCTGAGCCCTCTTCTGTCTCCTTTTCCCCTCTCCTTCACTCTTTTGCTGCCGACTGCAGCAGTGGCATTCAGCTGGAATGTTTGCCTTTGTTTGTGTGGCCCACTGGAAAGCCATGAATGGCCTTAGCTCATCTGCTATCCTCACTAGCAGCGATTTGCACTTCAGGGCCCAGCAGGTAGTCCTCACAAGAGGGAGGAGGAGGTTGGGGGGCTTTTATAAGGAAATTAGAGTTGTGGATGCCACCTGGATAGTAAACAACGGTGCAAGTCCTCACACCTTTGGCGTCAGGTAGCCCACGTGACGCAGGGAAGAAAGAGAATTCCATTGTGGGAATTTTCACATGGGAACTGTTTTGTTTTCTTTTCTTTCTATTTTCTGGCAGTTGAACTCCAGAATTGTTTACTTATTATATGTGACACGGTACTTAGCACCTGCTGCACTTCCTCCCCGCCTGATACTCATCTGCCATCTCTGGGTTTGTTAGTTGAACCTCCCTACAGAGGACTTTTTGTGTAATGTCTGGACATTATGTAATGTGCTAGATGAGATACAGGTCGATGAGGTTTGTTCATTAATGTCACAGCTGTAGCAGATACAAGTCGAGGTAGACTTTTCTACTGTAAGTGATTCTCCTGATGCATTCTCCAAACAACCACATCATGTGTTTGGCAGCTGCTGAGTCAGCTAAGACAAACCTGTGGCGCTCCTCTGGGAATCCTAAGAGAGGACAGAGCTGGCCATGTGACTCGTCTTTCCTCAGGAGGCGGTGCCCGAGATACTTCCCCTTTATCAGGGGACTTTAGCAAGAGCTCAATGCAGCGGTGAAGGATGGGCTCGGGGGCGGGCAAGCATTCAATCCACACTCTTTTGTTTTTTTGCACAGTGTCTTTTGAGGCCAAAGAAAATGCCGGGTTTACTCATTATCTCCATTTTAAATGGGCAATTTAAGACAGGCCATGTCAAAGTCAGGGGCTTCAACATAAATCACACTGACATCTCTTTCCCCAGGCTGAACTTGAGTCTGTACTGGTATCAAATGCCTTACTGAAGAGATTTCACTTTTGTCACATCTGATTACTACAATTAGCTTACAATATTTTTGTTACTTAAGAATGTTCAGAATAATCCACTGCGCTACTTGAGACTTGCTCATATGTCCCATGTGTGGTCTGAATCACCAATAGGTGGACAAATTTCACGGTCAAACTCAAGCCCAATGTTTAGACAAATGTGGCTGTTTGAGGGAAGTGAGTGCATGAACGTCCCGTCAGGGCTAATGTGAGCTCATGTGGTGGTTTACAGCAGCCCTCACACCGACCGTGCCCTAATATAGCCATTGGAGAAGAGGTGAGAAAAGCTGCACACAACTCGATTAAAACAGCTGGTGACTGTGTCTATGGTAATGAACTGGAACACCAATCACATGGCTCAGTAAAGTAGGAAACCTGGGCCAGTGAAGGGAGGTGCTGATAATGACAACGGAAATGTAACAACTGATGCCACGGCTTCTTTCTAACACTGTTGCCATTATAATGTTGCATTTTAAGCAGGTATTTTGTGACTTTTTAAAAGTTCACTTCACATAAAAATACTTTTAAACCATACAGTTTTAATTAAATTATTGGAATTAAAGTGATACCTAAGAACTCAGTCATGTTGAGTGGTGAGCACATCTTCCCTGCCATGCAGTAGATATGAGTTTACTCAGACCTGCTGTTTACCTGACAAATTCTTGAGGACTTTGCTTGACATTAATTAGTTGGCAGGAAAACAGACGCAGGAGTCCGAGGGCACGCAGAGTATAATTCATACTATAAAATTTTTCCATCTAAGTATTCATAATTTAAATGCAATATTAGTTTTGAAAAACATGGGATTGCAGTCTAAACAATGTTGTGACAGTGTGGCAGATAGTTTGCCATTTAGAGTCAGGTTTGTAACCAAACGTCAGCGACCATGAAGGGAAAAATCTAATCACAAATAGTGGCTTTAAAAATCTTGAATGAACCTGCATGTGAATAGTCTCACATTTCGAAAGAAATTTGACATTGTGCTCAGGCATCGTAGACTTGCGTGTTTTAGCAGTGATGTGACACATACTTAACCTCACTTAGTTACCATGTGATCACTCTTAAACCCCCTGGTTATTTCCTAAAAACATGTTCTTTCTCGTCTTGGCAGTATCATGATAAGGCACTAGGATGAGCCACTAGGCTGTAATGACATATAATCCCCAACATCTGCCAGTGCCTGTTGATTTGTGGTGCATTTCAGTTTATTTATTTTGGCCAGATGAGCCCCTGGTATTTATAGCGGGAGTAAAAGCCCGGTATGGGGTCAATCCCAGGCAAGGCTACGAAGGCAAAATGCTGAAGCTGACCTGACATTTTTGTTCCCATTTTGCTGGGGACAGATTCTTCTGTCTCTGAATTGGCCCCCAGTAAAAAGCAGGGTGTGGCAGCGAGAGACTGAACTGAGCTCAAGTGTGAGAGCAAAAGTTTGAGTTCAAGATTTCCTTTCACATGACGCGGCGCCCATGGTGGATGTGTTAACGTGCTGTGGGGTCACACGTGGCAGGGCGCCGTGGCTGTGTGGCAACGGGGAGATGCGGGCCCTCTTCTTTGTTTCCCCCCTGCAGCTTGCAGGCCTCCAAGAGCATCTGTCACCGCAGGGGGTCAGCAGGGCCAAGATGAATGAGCCCCAGTGGATTCCCTTCCTTCTTGGCAAATGGCATGGACAGAGGAGGGCATAGGGGACTTAAGGGGAGGGTTTTGTGTGTTTGTGTGTGTGTGTGTGTTTGTTTGCATGTGAGTGAGAGAGAGGGCGAGAGAGAGGGAGGGTTTGTGCTGTATTGAGGGAAAAAGTGGGATTCCCATTTCTTTCTACAGAGGATCATGACAAAGGTGACTTGAGACATACCAGAGAAGAGTGAAACTCCACATGCTGCCTGGATATCAACAAGTTCTTCTCAAAAGAAGTCTAACATGGACATTATTTGAAAAAGAGCTGTCTTCACATTTTGGATTTTACTGTATCTGATTTGGATTTTAAGGTTCACCCACTGGTTGAGGAGTCATGGAAGGTAGAGAAGCTTTTTTTACTGCTTGCTGTGTGTCACATGTGCCCGATGCTGCATTAATGAGATGGGCTTTTAGCACCTCATTTAGAGAACATGGAGAGATGTTTGTCTTTTTTCTTAACTCGTTTCTCAGCCCCATCCCCCCTTTCTCTCATGTCTGATGGGCCGCCTTTTCACCACAGCTTTTCTAATGTTAAGAGTGTGCTGAGCTGTTTCTCGCCTTTCAACTATTATCTGAAATGTTAAAGTGTAACAATGAGGTGAAAACGACTGAGATATTTATCAGATTTTTTTTATCAATTGTTGATGCATGGGGTGAAAACACAATTTCAGCCAACTGGTTGGTTTAATCCTGAATTCACAAATGTTTGTGTTGTCGCTTAATTAGCAAATTTTAAACAACAGCAAATTGTCAAGTCGAACTATCTTGATGGTTTCTAAACAAAAGCCAGTAGATTACTATCATTGTTTTCACATTTATTAATAAATGTTTTGGCTTTGATTTGGATACATCTGCCAAGTCAAACTGTGATCAAATTAAGTTGGGAAGTGAGTTTAATCCTGCCCCCTCCCTCTATTGTAAACACTGTAATGGAACTATGCAGTTGACAAAGAAACAAAAGGACTAAAGAGAAAGAAAAGGCAGGGTTAAATGTAAGATAAGCTCAGCTGGACAGAATTAAATATCTAAAAATATTTAGGATTAAAATCTTTATTGTCTTGAGGTTTAACTTTACAACATGTGACTTTTAAGTAAGAACTCATTTTACCGGAACCAAACTTTTGTAGAACATTTAATATGAGCACTATATGTTTTAAATGTTACTGATTTCCTCTTAGTTATACCATTATCACTAGGTACGACCGACAGCTAGAGAGTTCCATCTTGTGATTTGGTGCTGTTCAAATAAAAGTCGATTTAATTGAACGTTTTACATTTGAGAGAGAATTGCTTCAAATTTAAATGAGCTTTATACATTAACAGCACAATTCTTACCTTCAACAATCACAGCAATCCTTCATTTTAATTTTTAATCATTGTAAATAAACACAAGTGTTTATTGGAAGAAGTGCAGAGAACGCATAAAGTCCACAGTCTTCTAACACCACCAGGGAGAACACAGACTGAAGAAGACAAAAAAGTATTTAATGAAACAATCTAAAAATGCTTAAGTTATATGTTATCATTGTAATACTATCACAGTATGAGGGGTGTACTCTGTTTTCTGCTTTTAAAGAAAGAATTTTATGTACTTTTTCCTGTATATATTAGAAGTAGCCCTTAAGAGGGGGGTGTGTGTGTGTGTACAAGTACATGTGGTTGCGCTTTGATTACAGACTGTGTGAGAAACATCTGTAACCACTGCGCTGAATCCTGTGTTGGATTTAAGTAAAGAACTAAATCAGCGTAAACAGGATGTTATTAAGCATCTCAAGGACGTTATTAAGCAAATATACCTATGGGTATAAATAAAGTAACCTAACCTAACCTAACCTATCTCAACGGGGCTTCTGTTGACGTCTAGATTTACGACTCCATCTTCATCTCAGGAGCCATCTGCACCTCCTTCTGTGGTGTCCACCCTGTACGACTAGATACACATCAAAATATTTTAAGACTCCGGGTGATTAGCATAGTGTGAGCCCTTTGGCAGAGATTCATATCCTGTTTGGGAACACACAAAGCATGAACTTGTGTTTTGATACTTTAGCTAGAGTAGAGCATTTCACATGATCAATGCTATGTTGATTTCTTATGTAACTTTAAACCAAATTTGCAGTAAGAACAGATTTCTGTTTAACACATTGATGTTTTTAAATCTTGACTTTGATTAGTTGAATCAGGCGGGCTAATCATTCACTAAATAAGTTGCAGCCAGTAAATACAAGTTGAACCAGCTTGTGTACACTTGCTATTTGAAAGACTTGGACCTCAGACCAGCTTCCTTCCCCCCCTTACAGAATAGTGGGACACAGTCAGATGTGATGACAGGGTAAGATTGTGACAGTCAGTGTTTTGAAGGGAACTTTGCTTCTGTTATATCAGGGCCTGAGTGGCTAAACAATGCTTCGTCAAGGGTCAAAGTAACTGGCAAATCCATTCAGAGTGGAGTGACTGTGTGTATTGAGTGTAGCAACAAACTAAAACACCCAATTGTGTTTTATGAAAATAGCCCCAGGGCCATGGTATCGCATAACACCTTTTTACCCTTGTAGTTAGTACATATGTCATGGTCTGAGACGCTCTTATGGTTTGAGTGACCATAAGTACACCCATTCATGTTGTGAATGGGCATTTTCTGTGGACTGTGGTAACCTGTAGCACCAGGCGACCTGTGGCGTGCGTGCATGTTTCAGAAAACTGATTAAAAGAAAAATGTTTTGCATTTTGTTTTGAAATATGTCACGTTACATTTCTTGAAAGGTGTTGCAGTTGGAATGTAGTGGGAATGAATGGAAGTTTTCTTATTAGCTTGTTTTTTCATGTTTTAAGGAAAAAGGTCACTAATTGACTTGTTCAGAACATTCTTTGCAATTTAGATTTAAGTTTGCTGCTCATTTTCTTTCTTTCCTCTTTTTTTTATGAATATAACAGGCATAAAATGTGTTGGCTACCAGTGACAGTCACTGGGATAATCAGAGATCTCTTTTCTCTCTCCCAGGTCTCAGAGCATGGAGAAAAATATATTTGCTTAAAGTTTCTGTTGAGTGGTGGTGACCCAGCATGTAGCAGAGGTGAACAAGTCCCGTCACACTTGGGAACAATCTGACAGTGTAAGTTGCTTTGCGTTTAATGTGCTACTCAAGTGTTATCTGTTAATGTGGAAATGCAGCTGTAATTTCAGAGTGTCAGTGTTCTCACATGTTCTCTGTCTCAGTCCTCTCAGATCCACTGAATGAAGATTAAACTAGGTTATTCTGACCTGGGGTCACATTCATGCAATCTGTTAATGCCACCCAGGAGCCGAGGAATGGCCTTGACTGACCATCTGACTGACTAAGAGCTAGTTTTAAAGTCACTGCTTCACCACCAGCCATTAGCCTTTGAACATTAAACCGCTTCTCTCTTGAAGAGTCCCCTCATTATGTTTGACCATTCGTCAAACAGACTGCAGCCGCTGACTCGCCTGAAATAACCCCCTGCCACTACAACTGACCTTAGCAGCCACCTGAGCCACACCTCAGAAACATTCATGAAGTGGCGTGTGCCACAGTCACGCTTTAAGTTGTGCAGGTGACAGAAAGGTCATTCTCTGTGCTCACCTCCGGCCTGCACAAGGTTAATGACAAATCTCTCCAATGAGGCCTGAGGGTCAGCCAGCCAGAGAGGCCACCGGAGCCTCCTTAATTCACAAATGAACAGGCAGCAGCTACTTAAAAACGCCCTCAGGCACTCAATTTCTTTTTTTTTTCTTACCCCTTCTGTCTTTGTTTTTCTGTACAGCCACCTTCTTGCATCAGTTAAGCAAGACACACTGCAGCTTCATTCTGTTGAGCTGCTTATCTCTTTGACAGCACAGTCAGGCACTGTTAATCTTGTCTCTTTTCTGGGTTGGTCAGATTCCTTCCCAGGAAGGATGTTGGGTAAACATAATGTTTGGAACCTGTCCGGGCGTGGACAAAATTACACGAGTGTGGAGGACAGGCAGCGGCAGCCTGATTCCCACCCTGGTCATTATTGACAAAATAAAAAGGTTCAGGGTTCCTGTGTAGCCAAAAAGACACTGTATGTCTACAGAGATGGCAAATTTACTGACTGACACATTCAGTGTGTGGCACAGGTGACTACAATAGATAATAGAAAAATTATTTCTGCAAAGTGCATTTTTTATTCCACTTTAATGTGCCTGTTTGAGATGATGTATTTAAACAGTTTAAAATGAAATTAGCTTATATTACAAGTCACAGAAGTTTAGAAATAAAATGAGTCGTAAGTAAATCAATTAGTAAACCAACAAAAAATAATCACCTACTCTATTTATAATCAATCAAACGTTTCAGTCCTTTTTCAAGCAAAAATGCCAAACACTGACTGGTTCTGTCTTCTATCATGTCAGGCTTTGCTGCTGTGCTTTGTCATTTATGATGCTAAACTGAATGTCTTTGGGTTTTGGACTGTTGGTTGTACAAAAGAGTAACTTTAAAGACTTCACACCGGGGTCTTGTGCTTAAATTTTTCTGTAATTTCTAACATTTTGTGGACAATGTAGACTAATTGATTAACTAAGCAAATTACTATGTTAAGTGTTAAATTGCATAAATGATTTCAGCTTTCTAAGTGTTTTGTATCGTGCAAAATTGCTGGGGCTACCTTTGTAATCCAGCCTTTTGTGCACCTTTGCCCCTAGTAAAATAAATACTGTATTGACAAGCAGCTTCAGCTTCAACACATTCAAATAAACATATGTATGTATTGCTGAAATTCAGGCTAATGTTTGCATCAGTTGTAGTTGTGAGCCGTGCCAGTCAAAAGCAGTCCGAGGACAAACATAGAGGGCATTTCAGGCCAAACTCATGAGTCAGGAAAGCTGCCAAAACCTCCCTGTATTTTCCTTTCCAATGTTTCATCCCCCACAGTTACTGGATTGGCATTAAAAAGAGACCTAGTGACATGTTTTGACAAACCGAAAGCTCAGTGCTTCTTTGTCACTACATTTGGAGTGTTTTCTGCCTCTCCTACCCTCTGTCCCTTGTTCTCCTCTGTGACACCACATGCTTAGTTAGCTCTCTGTCCAGCTGCCACCCACCACCAGAGAGCCAGCCAACCTCAGACCCACACAGCCGACCCCAGCAGATGTCCCAGAGTGGACCCTAGGGTGGAGGGGGCACAGAGGCAGAGCAGGCTGAGTGACACAAAAGACAGACGGAGAAAGGGCCAAAAAAAAAGTGATAAGCCTTTGGCCTTGGCCATTATGTTTGGGGTGACATGAGGAAACTGTGCATGTACTGTATGTGTGTAACAGTGCATGTTATGATTTGCAGCACCTTTACTTAAAGGAGATTGTTTGGTCTATTAGTTGTCGGAAATAGTGAAAATCAAACTTTTAAGTTGTTCGATTTACTATCATGTAAAGCATTTAGAGGCTTAAACAAGTAAAGTTTCAGCATTTTTACTTGAAAGTTTTAATCATCAGCTAATAAATCATTTTTAGCTCTGCACACTTCAGCTCGAAGCACAAATCCAACTTAAGGGTTTCTAATAAATAATCGGTGATGAACTGATTTTTTGTTTGCTTTAGGAGATTATGGGGAATTCCTACGCTGGGCAGCTGAAGTCCACTAGATTTGAAGAGGCTCTCCATAACTCCATAGAAGCTTCATTGCGCTCGAGCGGTGGAGACCCACAGCCCGTTTTCACACAGCTCTACTTAGAGCCAGAACCATATCCTAGTAACATTGAAGGTAGGATCCTCGCAGCGAAGAGTGAAACAGGATTTGGTTTTAAACTGCATTAGGATAATACTATGGTATCCTTTACACAGAACTGTAATTCCTCTGAATTTCCTATGACATTTACCATTAATAACTATATTATTATAATATTATAAGAGAAATAAGAATTTTATTTAAAAACCTGCTCAATTTAAACCCACATAAATATAGGTTCTTTATTATTACTGCTTTATTGTTCATTTATGTTAAATTCTATGCATACCTTCAGACAAATGTCATGTTTTTCCAGTTCGGCTGACCTGCTACATTGAATAAAATGCTACTGATTCCCGATAATTTGTCTTGTTTACCTAGTTCTTTTCAAGAATCTTACTAGAAAACCACTTGCAAGCCTGTAAAATACACTGTTACACACAGTTCTAATCGAGCTTTGGTGAAAAATAATTGAATTTAAAATGTCCATCAGACATGAAGTCGAAAGCTGACCGTCACGGTGGGGAGCCACCAGGCCACAAGCTTATCAGCAGTCACTCTTCCAACGACCTGGAGGAGCTGGAGGACGACGATGACTCAGACAGCAGCAGTCCTCCACTTCCCTACCTACAGGCCCCTGCACCCGACGGCTGCTGCACACTTGATGGTAACATGCATCCACTTTGAAAAGCCCTTGATTAGGACCATAAGATTTCAATGAAGGACAAATGTTTTTACTTCGAAGGAAATTTAAAAAAAACTGCTTTTCATTAAAAATAAATGATAGAAAATATGATGCGTGCCTGATTTGACATTTTTTCATATAAAAAGATCACATGTTTTGTTATGTTTTTCACTTTCGCTTACTGAACATCCTTTCTCCTCAGGGTTCTGTCAGGCCGGCAAGGACCTCCGCCTGGTCTCCGTAGCAACGGAGTCCATTGAAGTCCCGGCAGGCTTTGAGCTGGTCGGCGCCAAGTCACCCAGCATCCCCGAGCACATCCTGGTGTGTGCCGTGGACCGCCGCTTTTTGCCTGATGAGAATGGGAAAAATGCACTTTTGGGTGAGTTTCTTTTCAGGGTCTGAGATAAGGTGAAGGAGAAAGCTGGCTCTCAGTATTTTATTCAGCTTCAGTCCTTGGTAGAGTGAATACACTCTGCTGTTAGCTTGGGCTGCACCGAACTATAAATATTGGTTTGTAAAATTAAACAGTGCTTACGTTTTTGTTGCATTTTGCAGGTTTTTCAGGAAACTGTGTGGGCTGTGGTGAAAAGGGCTTCAGATACTTCACAGAGTTTTCGAACCACATCAACTTGAAATTATCCACCCAGCCCAAGAAGCAGAAGCACTTAAAATACTACCTGGTGAAGAATCCTCAGGGTGCTCTGTGCAAAGGATCCCTTATCTGCTGGAAAGGTAAAAACTCAGTCTGGAGTCTAAGCTTTTCAAATCCTTATGTGTTTACTCTGCAGTGTGCTGATTTATTGTCTGGTGATGTGCTTTTACATCATGTATGTCCCAAGTTTTTGTCATTCCTCTTTGTGCCTTCTCAGACTGTAAAACCCGGCAGTTCTCCAGCAGCGTGTCAACCTCCAAACCAAGCTTGTCCTCCTCTCTCAGCAGTAAAGAAAATGGAGGCGCTAGCGGACACAGCTCCTCTCCCTTATCCCTCTCAGGTGAGACTGCACACAGCACAGATGTGCATATTGTGAGAATTAGCAATTCACTTCAGTAAAGGAAAACATTCAGATAGTGATTTAACTAGCACAATATAGTGCAGGTATTATACATGAATCTAAATTGTAAAATATTTTTTCTGTACTCAATCATTAATGATTGAACTACATATATATTGACTTCATGAAAAAGACCTATTGCGTCTGTTGGTATATGGTGACAGGTTTATGTTGTTGCCATAGAGACAGGTTGTGGTGGCTAAGCTCTGAAATTTATGAGGCAAACATGGCCTGATGCTTGAACCGCTGCATTGAATTCAGCTGCTTATGAGTCACTTCATAACAAAGAGGAGGCGTTGTTGGTTGTGTTTCATCTTATGCTGTTATACTTAGTAGTAATTTACTAATACTAAAGAACATTTTCATTTGTTGTATTGCACCATTTGATATAAGTCGTATATATCAGTGACATTTTTAGATTTAAAAGGCTGCTTTATGGCATGCATTTGATCATAGCATAATTTCAACACATGAATCACGTATGACCTCAAGAAAGATTCTGTTTCTCTTCAAGGAGATGCTCTTCTCTGTCCTCTCACAACAAGAGCACATCTTCCCTCGTTGATCGATCCTAGGTTTACACCATTGATTTGTTCTGAACCTGGAAGCTGCCTGTCAGCACAGATCGCACACGTTAATGTGTTAGACAGCTGAGGCTGGGCTGTGGGCCTCATTGTTGGCATAACTCTGGCCTGAAATCTCCTGACTGTGACCTTCAGGTACATCCTGTACTCAAAGCGGTCACTGACACTCGCTTAGGATCCAAGATGTTAGACTTTGTAACACTCACGTATCAGCCGTTGAGCCAAAAGACTGTTTATCCTGAAATGATGAATGAAAAGCAAAGAGTTATGGTTTGTTTGTACTGTGCACTGGACATTGGATATAGACCTAAAAGAGTCTGTTAGAATTAGTTTGATACTAGGATTTAGGCCAAAGTCAAGCAACAGACCAATCAGAGCAATGGTGGGTGTCAAGGAGTTTTGCAGATTTGAGCTCTTCAATGATTTGTAGCCAGTCTGTGTACAAGAGAACACCGTGCACTACCAGCATGACAGAAGGTTGGTAAGCATTACCTGTCTTTTGATAATATTGTACTTCTGTACTCATCTTTAGACTCACCACCCACCAGAACCACGCAGGCATCTGCTCTCTTTTTCGGCCGTCAGGACCTCAGCAGGGAGTGTAGTTTCCTCAAACCTCTGGCCTCCACACCTGGAAACAAGACTCTGCCAATAGGTTAAGCTCTTTTTCAGTGCACCGATAACTTCTGCATGGTTTTATCATGTAATTACAATTGCGTTTGATTCTGCATTAGGATCAAACACGATAACACACAGTGCAAACTACACCACAGTCCCACATTTCGAGTTGAATCAGATTCTGACACTCGTCTGCATGATGCTGATAAACCTTCACCTTTATGATAGTATGTTAGTGATACTTCTGTGGCCTTGTCCTTATTCTGAAAGACGCTGCGTAGCTTTTTTTTTTTTTTTTTAACACCTGGTTCAGCATAAAGTAGGTGCAGCTGTGACTGACCATGGAGCCAAGGTTAACCTCTGCTGTAGCACATACACAAACAAACCCACATATGCACACATAGCAAGTACACACAAGCACATGCACGAGTGTCCACTCATGTTTACTCATCAATCAATGCTGAAGGAAGGAATTTTGTAATGACTTTTTAAGGCCTTGCTATCCATTAGTTCTTTTACAAGGTTGTGATATTGACAAGCAAAGGCTACACGTACCAATCGGTGCTTTAGTGTATTGCTTACACTGTGAATATGAGATTGGAAAATGTCCAGTTGGGTCATCGGCTTTAGACGTTCATGTATAGGAAATCAATAAGCCATTGTTAGTACTAACTCATTTTTATGTATTGCTCAATCTCTCCGACAGTTATTTTTATATTTCCAGTTTATTTATGGATGTATTTATTTATTAGCCACTATTATTTTTTGCCACACTGTAGTCTCTTGGTCAGCTCTTTGTTCCAGACTGAAATATATCAACAACTAAATTGACAGCCATGGCCCCCAGACCATGCATCTTTATTGTCCTGGTGATCTAGTGAATTTTTCTCTAGCGCCACCATCAGGAAGGCTGCATCTGTTGAAAACTGTGGTTGATGATTAATTATTTTTATATAATAATATTGCAAAACTAATTCCCATTAATGTCAGCTGTAATTTGTGTTTAGTGCTATTTGACTATTTTTGGCATGCTAACACTTTACACTGAGAAAGTGACCATGGTAAAAATTAGACCCACCTCCCCCATCAGCATGCCAGTACTGTCAGTGTGAGCATATCAGCCTACTGAGGGCTATGTGCTGCCCCTTAGTCTTGTTTCCACAGTCATTAAATACATAGTTTATATAAAGTTAAATATGCAGTTTTATCACTCTGTGTGTGTTTCCAGTTCCCACAGCTCTGAGGGTGAATGGGCCAGCTAATGGTCTGGGCGCCGATGGACGTCCTCCCTTACTGAGCCCCTCCCAAGTCTCCTTAGGGCCTCAGGGTCAGGGGTATCGCACAGCTGATTTAGGAGACAGTCCAAGTAAGAGCCTCTCCCTTTTTCTGATAATAACCTCACACCTAGAAGCACAAAATGTTATAAATTATCAGGTTCTTTTGCTTTGGCTTCTATTTTGACATTGTTCTGTGTGTTTGTTTCTCATATTTAGTATCTTCTGCCATACACTCGGGTCCTCCAAAGAAACGTCACCGGAGCTGGCATCCTTCCGCCTTGTTGCCCGTCCCTCCAACAGCCGTCCCTGTTCCAGCCATCCGACCAATTGTTTGTTCCCCCGGTCAGTTCCTAAACAATGTGGCTCTCTGAGCCACATGACACAGTGTGAACTAGGTTGTAAACTGATCTGCTTATGTCATGTGTCTCCTTTTTAGCTCAATTCGCTGTGTGTGTAGTGTGTTTTTGTGCTCTTAGTAGCACGTCCTGTTTTGTTTACAACCCCTCGTCCCCTCCCTCTGTCTTGGGGAGGAGTATGCCACATCCCTGAAGTTGTCTGGTTGTAAGGTGTGATTCTCCAGGCATTTCCATGGAGATGGAAATGGAGAGTTTGTAGTAGAAATGATATTAAAAATTGCATGATTGAGGAAGGCTTCTGCCACATCATGTAAATGTAGTTGTATAGGCTGCCATCATTTCAAATAAACTATCTATTATAATTCTTTTCTTTCACTTGCATCATTTCTGTGATCATAGTATAACAACACCTTATACTACTGCAGTGTTTTCTAGCCAGTGTAAATATGATAGTATGTCAAATATTAACCAACCAGAAACACATTATTCCTAGTGTTGACTTTATTTCTTTATTTCCCTCCAGGTTCTGTATTAGGATTGTCCTCTCCTCAGCCACCGGTAGCTGGACTCATTCAGCCCCAACCTGTCACCACTGGAGAGACTGTCATCATTCCTAACAACCTGCTCAGCTCTTCAGGAGTTCGCCCTGTCATCCTCATCGGTACAAGCTTTAACTCAGTGATTTGCTCCTTCTTACAGTTTTTCTCAGTCACTCTAGTACATCTCTCAAATTATCCATGATATTTGCAAAACAGTAAGAGCATTTCTCCAAACAGTTTGTACAAACAGCACCACACAATGGATTGCCTGCAAAAATGCATCACTTGCTCATAATCCTTGGGTTTATTTCTCAAAAGTAAATATTTAGTGAAAATGTCAGTGCTGTCAGCATGACAAGTCCTTGTGTCATCATTTACAAACAAGGCAGTCAGAATGCTTAGTCATGTTGTCAATATAACAGTGGACTCTGGAAGTATTTTCATATGTCAACTATGGCTCAGGTTTTATGCTAATTAAAAATACACAAGGCTGCACTTGTTCTGTATGGCATATATCAGTTTCTACAGTACACAGTTTTACTTTACTGTGTGTAGGAGATTTCTTGAAGAAGATTAGACAGGATTCAAATTTTCTATTTTTGCTCTTATTATGATACGGTGAATAAAGTGTTTCACAGCACTGCACAGTGCAAAGGAAAACATACAAGATTAGAAATGTAAACAGGAATCACCCCCTGGACAGAACAGTTGTTCTCGCGACATGAGGCCTTTGACCAGCCTCAGTCATGGGAAGGCCATGACTGACAATATGCTCAACAAGTATTTCAATAGGAATGTACTTATGTCCTTGGCCTTTTATCCCTCTACCTCTGCTTTGCCCCCGGCCCTTCCACCACACAGCCCTACTCCTCTTCTTCTTGTCAGCAGTTGACACTGTCCATTTCCTTGTTCTTCCACTATCAGAAATTGTAACACTGAGCTGTGCTTTGTATATGCCTGTCTATTGAAGGTTCATGAGATGCGCCTCTGAGCTGTTCTTACAGTAGAGAACTGGTTGATCTAATGCTTCACACATTCTCCTTCATTATTGAAAGCCAAGATTCACCTGAGAGCAAATAAAACAATTCAGGACACATTTGTAAAAACTTTCTAATGCAGCTGTACAGAAATGCAGGTACTAAATACAACTAGTTCACCCATTTTGCATGTAATGACATCTGCAATGAACTAATAACGAGTTGTTTTGGGAGGTCAGACTATTCAACAGGGAACCCTATAATACATTTTGATCAACATGGCATAAGCAAGTGATAATGCAGGAAACAACAGACAATAATCATTTGCATGAATATGCCACAGCATTTCCAGTTTGCTCAGAACAATGGGAAACTGCTTATATGATGTGCACAAATGACTAGATGATGTACAGGTGGAACAAGTAGAAATGTATGAAAGTGTTTGAGAATAACTGTAACATTGCAAATTAAGCATCATTCTGTAGTGGATATCAAAACAATATTAATTAATGTCAAGCAAGTGAAATCAGTCTGTTTTGCCACTAAGTAGATTACAATTAATAAAGTGATCTTCTTGATGATAATCAGGGCCATTATCATAAGCACAGAGGTACACAGTGTTCTGAGAGAGGTATGAGTAATTTACCAACATATATGTAGCACTCTGTCATAATACTGTAAAAATGTATTGCACTGCAAACATAAAATCATTATGTCTGTCTTGCATTAAGAGGCATCTGTTTTTCCTGAAGCACTTTTGTATTTCAGCCCATACTTGGTTTGGCTCATACTTTGAATCGTATGATAACAGTTGCAATTGTCTAAAAAGAACATTTAAAATTCAGCAGTAAAATGTTATAGCTGTTGTTAATTGCTATTACACATTTTTTGTCCCTGTATGTTTCAGCTGAATTTAATGACATGTTTTCTTTACAGGGCATGGCACTTTACCTTATTTCTATGGGAATGTTGGGGATGTAGTGGTGAGCCCCCTGCTGGTCAGCTGCTATAAGAGCAGCCAGCTGACAGAGAAAACCTTGGAGACTTTGGGCCTCAACAGCAGCCAGCTGCTCAGTGTTGAGACGATGATTCTGCTGACTTTGCAGTATCTTGCACGCTTAGGTACGCAGCGAACACAAACTAAGAAATCTCACTCTCATTTGTATTTTTACCAAAAAGTTGCATGGCGTCTGCTATCAAATAAACAGGCTGGTATGAGGGATGAGTTGCTGGTGTCTTATTTAAATACAGAAACATACCTGTCCAAACAATGGGGTATATAATGTAACCTCATATATTTTTCAGATTTGTTGTGACTGAAGGAAACTAAGGTTCAGGAAATGACTTCTCAGTGGTTTGGGTTTTCATATCCTGCAGGCTCAGAGCAGATTCCCCTGAGGGAAGAGCTGGAACAGATAGTTCTGAAAGCCATGCTGTGCTGTCCTGGGGGTCCCACTATCTCCCCATCGCAGCTGCCCTGGTTGGCTCGCCTGGAAGCCAGTGTATCTAGGGGCAGCGTCCAGGTCATGGTTACCCACAACAGTTTGGGAGAGGGCATATCTGAGTCACTACACTCTCTGAGCGAGGGTCCTCACCACAAACAGTGCCTGCCCACCTATGTGGTCATCATATGTGCTTCTAAAATCAGTGGCAGTGAGTTCTGTGTGCTTGTATTGGGTGAGTTTTGCAGTCTGCTTGATGCATTTCAGTATCTTGACTTATTTAACTCAGTTATTCTTTGACCAAACTGTGCATCATATGTATAATTACATGGAAATACTATTATCTTGATTTGTGTGTTGGACACAGGAAAGTACCAAGCACGGGCCTTAGCTGAAGGCATGCTGACAACAAACGAGTTTCTGAAGGAAATCAGCTATGAGCTCATCACAGGGAAAGTCAGCATCTTGGCATCTCACTTCAAAACCACGTCACTCGGTGAGCTCCTCATCTGTATAACGTCTTTGTTTTGCTTGTTGTCTAAGGAAGGAAATGAAGCGGTTTTGCTTTTTTAAGAAGAGACAATATTCAACAATTAGCTGTGATGCTGTTTTGATTTGGCATGTTTAAAAAGTACACATTGTCATTAATGTTTGATGTTTTGAATGAAATTTGTTTTCAATATTTCTTAATTAAAATTAAAAAGAGTACAACAGTATTAAAGGGGGTATTTGGGTGCAGTTGTACACTGTAAAAATAGCTGGAGTGCCAGAAAATTAGCATAAAATTACAGAAAATAATCACCTTCTAAAAATACAGTAACTTCCCTTAATTTTAAATACAGTTCTTTCCTTTCAATTTTAAATGAAATCTTGTGTTTTTAAATTATTTCATGTTTAAAACAAGATACCAACCTTTAAAGCCCAATTTTCCCTTTATACAAATAATAAAACAGCATTTTAAATGTACTGACAACAATATGCTTCTGACTTTAAAACATATTTAAAGTAATACTAATGAGCATTTATTTGGTTCATAAAAATCCATTCTTCATTTGACATGAAAAACTTAGTTGCAGCGGTTAAAGCCCCTAAATGTACAGGGTTAGACACTGAATTCACAACTACCCTTCGTTGTGGTTTGCATATTTTTATTATTATGAAAAATATCAACCTAGACTTACTTTAATATGTATTACAGACATACAGTAGGTTTCCACCATAAATGCATTTGTTAAACTGGACAAAAATGACTAAATGAAGAGTTGTAACTCTCACACGGTGCATGCTGGGAAGTCTGCTAATTCTAACTGTGAAACAGTAAACAGTAAATAATCACGCAAAAGCTGTAAAATAAGCTGAATTTTTTTTTTATACTGTGAACTTGTATCTGCGTCTTTATGTGACTATGGTGACTGGTTGCTTTTAGGAGACAATCTGGACAAACAGCTGGTGCGATACCAACGCCGACGGAAGGGACAGGTCATCCAGCCCTTTCAGGGCGATGTCACTGACCACATAAACTCCCAGGAGTCTGCCAGCATGTCACCTCCCTCAGACAAAGGTTAGACTGCTCTTGTAAATGTGCTGCTTGGCTCACTTGCCTGAGGGAGCTGTTTGCTAGCTAAAACAAACAATGCAATGGAGTAAATCAATAGAATGTTCTCTTTTTTTTTAGAGCTGAAATTATTCAGAGATATACAAGAGAAAAAGGCAAACATTAAATTCTAAAAACAAGCATAATTTGTGTTTTGTTGTAATTACCTCACAACCTGTAAGATTTATATTTCAAGCCTCACCCCGAGGTTGGGAACCATGCTTTATCCAACCAAGGCATTAAAATATGTCTTAGTATTTCTCTGACCACTGTGGTCCTTAATCTAAACTCCACATTTTACTGGTGTCTGACACATGAGCGGCTCAAGTCCAGATTGTGACATATTGCTGTCTCGTATTAGTCAAAAGCTGTAGCAGTAACTGCACTGCGAGGCAGCAATGTTCCTTTTACAACACCAACAATTAGAGTGAATTTTAAGCAGTATTTTTCATTGGCAGCAAATCTTTCTATACTTAAAGTATTACTTGAAATAATTATCTTGCAGTGCATTAAATCACTAACTATATTAATGCAATGCACTTAGATTTCTTCTTTCATGTGTTCCTGCAGCAGAGTTTTTAGGGAGGGTTTTTCAGATCTATCCGACCCAGCTGAGCGTGGCACGCAGCCTCCTCTCTCAAGTCTGTTCCATCGCGGACTCAGGGACCCAGAACCTTGACTTGGGGCGCTTTTGTAAAGTGGACTTTCTTGTTCTGGTCCCTCCGTCTCACATTCTGGTACACCAGACAGCACAGCGCATCCGACAATCAGGTTAATATTCAACAACAACATCATGTTTGTGGCTTCATTAGGTTGTCATTATAATACATGTAGAGTTTCAGCTACTTTCATTTGTCATTCTGTTTTTTTTTTTTTTTGCTCAGGGGTGCTTGTGGACCTGGGAATTGAAGACATTTCCTCAGCCCACCAGAAATCTGATAAGTACGTGGTGCGTCTGGATGGTGACGTCCACACCAAGATGGAGGCCTTCATGAGGAAAGTCAAACAGAACCCCTACACCTTGTTTGTTCTCATCCACGACAACTCGCATGTCGACCTCACAAGGTACACTGTCTCTGCAGGAAGTCACACTTAAGCAATGAAAATTGTTTTGCTCTGTTGATGAATTGAAGCTGTGTGAAAATATGAGTTGTTATGGCTGCACATGAAGCCTTGTCTTTTTCATACTGTGATTAAAGTGGAGAACAGCTGTAAGAAAGTGAAAACAGATACAGACCATCTTTAACCTTGTTACATTGTCAGTCATTTGAGTTTGAGATTCCTATATTTTTGTTAATTTTTTAGGTATATTTAGCTTTTTTCCTGTATTCTGTGTTGATGCAGTTTAATGTTAGTGAGCTTTTTTAAGCTTTTTTACTGCTCATGCTGCTCTTCCTTCCATTGCTTGTTTATTCCAAGCAAACTGTCTCTTTCACTACCAGAAATAAAAGATAAATAGTTAATTGTTTTCTAGAGGATTTTTGTTGGGAGTGCCCTATGATACACCGGAAAGTTAGAACAACAAAACAAAAGCTTTTGTTGTGTTCTTGTTATTTGCCTCCATGTTAAATGCTATTAACAGCTGTGGTAGGATTCATATAGTAACCTAAAATAGTTTTAATCACTTTGCCCTGTTTCCTCTCCAGTGCTCTGTCAGGCTCTGTGTGTCATGGGGAGTTGCAGGGTTTGGCTGACCGGGTGGTGAACTGCCAGGAAGTCCTTGATGCCTTGAACCTGTTGGTCCTACAGGTCAGCTGCTTTCCATACACGCTGCAGACCCACCAGTCCCGCATCAGCATCTGCAATGAAGTTCATTGGCCCTCTAATGAAAGTCTGGCAAGTATTTTCATTTTTACATCAAAGATATAATGAACTATGAAGATATAGGAGAAAGCCTTCAAATTAAAGGGTGCCAGTGGCATTAGAAACATGATTAGCTTGTGTTCACAACTGTTAAGAGAGATGATTCAGTAAAAGTCACAAAGGCACATTTTGGCATCTGAGATATTGGTCCTTCTAAATGCTATCAAAGACAGATTTACTGCAGCAAGCAGAAGCCAGATTGGCACTATAGTGGCGTAGCTCCTCCACGTGGTGGCTATAAATGCACTCACATTAACATGGATACACATACTTGTATCCTAACACTCGTGTGCTTGAATAACTCATACTGTCCATATACAGTTAAAACGGATCAGCAATGTAGATCGCCAAAAAAGCTTCCTTTTTCCCAGGCCTGTTTTGAAGGAAGACAAAGAGTATGCTGACCTGAGAACCTTTGAGAGGGAGTTCCAGAGCTGTGGAGCTAGCTTGTATGGCACCAGTAACTCCCTAGTGTAATCTGTGGGAGGACATATAGAGCTTTAAAAACAACCAGTTAGATTTGAAAATGAATTTTGAACCTAACCAGTAGCCAGTGTAATGATTTGAGGTCAGGAGTAATATGGTCTCTTAGAGTAGATTTTGCTGGCAGGCTAGCAGCTGCATTTTCCTTTATATTTCTTATTTGAATGACTAGAAAATGTGACTTTTATTACTTTGTTGACCTGTTAATAATCAATAGAAACTGCTGAAGTTGGGTTGCAAGTAATCATTGGTTCATTTTGAGGGGTTGGACAAATTACATGTGCACATGTCAACAGTGGAATTTGGTGCCATACAGCGACTGTGTACATTTAAAAACATTAGAATTCTCTACACTGACTATGAGTATGTTCTTACTTAGTGCAGTAATTACTGCGAACCCTCATGTATAATTTTCTTGCAGCAGGGGGAGCAGTCTCCCAGTGAGTTGATCTACTTTGGCCTGAGGGACTATACCAGCTCCCTGCAGTGGGGCGTGTTCAGCCCCATTCTGCGTTGTGATGATGCCTTTGAGAAGATGGTTCACACTCTGCTGGAAAGGTCAGTATAGGGCCAGCACTGAGAAATGACTGCAGCTGCTAAATCTTCATTATATAGCTTGCCTTCTGTCAAAAGACACAAATTGAACTTTTTAGTCATAATCAGTAACTCAAACCTGTCAAAGTCTCAGTGTGATAATAAGACAAGCCAAATGCTCACAATAAAAAAAAAAAACAACTTCTATTTGTTTCTAAGCCATCCACACCTACACAGCATGGTGATCCGCAGCTACCTGCTGATTCAGCAGTACACCGAGGCCATGATGGCCTTGACCTCTTCCCCTTCCCTGAGAGACCACATCACCCCAGAGACTCTGGCCATGGTAGAAGACCTAATTAATGCCCCAAGCAGAGAGGGCTCCCAGGGCCAGGGCCACATGCTGCTGGTCCGTGTCCCCTCACTACAGCTGGCAATGCTGGCCCGGGAAAGACTGGAGGACGTGAGGGACAAGCTGGGGCTGCAGCTGTGCTTTGCTGTGCTGCTGGGGAGTCCTGCCTCTGAACTCAGCTTGTCCAGAAACTTCATCAGCCGCCTCAGGGTGAGAATAACGTAAATCACAGGAGTGGTTTACTTTATTTTAAATATTTATACAAAGGTAGTTTGGCTTATTCAGGTCAGATCATCAGTGTTTAACTAGATATCAGGTATTGACTGAAATTGGGTTTTATGGAGAAGTCTGAAGTAATTACCAGGGGATTGACTTTATCCTCTTTCATTACTCAGACTTTTTGCCTTAGAATATTGAGAGATCTGTCTAGAACCTCATTTAAACCACTATGAGAGACCAAGCATCTCCACAGAAACCCTGCCATTGAATGTTTTTAGGCGTCATTCTTTGCTCTTTTGAACAATGTCTAGACTAGAAAATAAAGAAATTGAATATTTAATTCCAGTTTTAGCCCCACATGGTGTAACACTCTAGTTTTAAATGACACATACTTAGCTGAATAGTAAACATAGTGCAATAACTGTGTTTTGCTGCAGGTGTGGAGAGGCTGTGAGAGTGAGGACTGGGTACCGCATACTTATGAGGATCTGGAAGGGCTGCCCTGCATCGTCATCCTCACAGGGAAAGATCCTCTCGGAGAGACTTTCCCCAGGTGCATCACAATCAAATGTGACACTATATCTGATTCTCTGATGGAGAAGGTTGTATGATTCCCTTTAGCTCATCTGTAATTGCTCTTGGAGTACTGTCGCCTTGTCTTTTGCCAGCCAGGTGCTATTTTACAAGTCCGCATTCACACAGTGTCTCGTGTCTTTTCTACAAGAGAAGCTGAAATTTTGTTGCACCTGGTGTGTCAGTCCTGGGTTGTGATTTGATTTGATTTATTCTTTCAAGCATGTAAAACAGTTGATATGACAACACACATAATTTTACACATAATCCAATATCAATTTGCTTATACCTAGTACATGCTTGAATGGAGTAGGAAGAAGTCAGACTTATCCAGTCCTACCCCATGACATCATCTTACCATCATTGGTTTGCAAGCAGTAAATGATTCACTTCTACCCACACAAGTATTATACTAAAAAAAGATTATAACAGTGTTAACATTCTTACATAATTACATTCTTAAATAATTATCTTCTACACCACACAAGTAATATACTAAA